CTAGATGTAACTCTGCGTTTTAAGAATATTATTGAATTACTGAAGATGGCCAGATTGTGGCCGAAACGTTTAATGTTTTAATTTATGTAATAATAATTAAATATCACAAACTATAACTTGTGCTGTGGTTTTTTATGCTCTTATTTTTTATATGATTTATATAATATTATTACATAGTATTTGAAAAACTAAAGAGTGTATATATTGCAAAGAGTGTAAATTGGATGCTACGCTTTTATTTCGAAAAATTGACATGCGATCTATACACGGTAACAAAAAAATTTAGAATGTAAATATAAACGCGTCAATATTATTATGTTTAAGAATATTAAAGTATAAATAAAATGTGCCAAATAAAAGATAAATAGAATCATTAAATTAAAAAACAACTTTTATCGAGGACTAATTATGTTTGAAATATCTAAGGTCATAAAGATCGTTCTGGAAATAAGTCGCTTTCGAGTTATAACTATTTATATTTTAAGAAAATTGTAATTTATTTTTTGTAATCATAATTTATTTCATATGGTTTTAACATAAATAACTACATTTCAGATTATTTTGGCATTACCAAAAATGCAGCACGCGGATACGTACTCCGCTAAGTATCTCTCTTTTTTAATCTTTTTTATTTAAAAATTTTTTTATTTTACTAGAAGGATATCTAGCAGACTATGCCTCCACATGCATCTTGAGTAACGCCAAAATATTCTAAAATGTAGTTAAAAAAATAGTATGAAATAAGTTATTATTGTAATTAAAAAAAATCAATTACAATTTTTTTTGTAACATAAATGTAGTTATAATTTGTAAACGATCTATTTCCGGACCTATGTTTATATAGCTCTTGTTCCTTATTTTGATTCGCTAATCACTTCCCGAAGCATTGCGATTTTCCAGAACGAGATATTAATGTTTAAAGATAGCTGAATACGCGCGTCCGCTCGACTTACTATTGTCAAAGGTACGGCCCACCGAGCGCACGGCACGCGGGTCGCGCCCTTTGAGCTTAGATGCTCGCGACGGTAAGCCCCGCTCCTCGCGGCCCGCGCGCGGTGGGCCGTACTTTCGGCAATAATTGGTCGGGAGGACGTGCATATTCGGTTATCTTTAAATGTTAATATCTCGTTAATTATTGTGAGCATTACAAAATAGTAGAGGACTTTTCTACTCAGTTTAGTTCACTTTACCTGCTCGGAACGAGTGGGGCCGTATATTCATGACACCCTGTATAAAGTAAAGTTATATATATAGAGTGTAACATCTGTTACATTATTTGTTACTTTCATGTTATATTATTTTTATATTTGGTATTTGCTGGATACAGGATGTCTCGCGAGACTTCTCCAACCGCCCACAAGAAAGTAGATGAGATCGAAATAAATATAAAAGTTCTTTACTGTTTAGCGATATTCGTAATAATATTAATGTTTGCAATTGTACTAATGAAAGCGCCGATAGAAACGCTCCGGCCGCTCGAAGTAGAGTCCGGCCCACTTTTTCAAACATTGACTGCACCGGCAGCGCGTTGGAAAG